TCATTGATCAAGTAGAATGCATTAGTTGAATTAAAATTCTTAACGTGTTTGCTCAAGCTAAGGGTTCCAAGGCATGTAAAGAATTATTTGCCGTTGCTATTATTTAATGCGTGACTCGTTTACACGTTTCAGTGGGACTAATACAAATCGAGCATGGGTTCATTAAATGCACGATAGACCATTACCTGTGAACTCACGTTGTTTCGGGACAATGTTCCAAGTTTAGAGCCAGTAAAAAATTTAATAAATCTGATGAATTTATTTTATTTTCTCTATAGAAAAAACTTTTGCTCTTCGCAATCGTAACTTTATAGAGCTACAGTCACATGTTATAACAAATATTTTACGTTAATAATTTAACCAGTCAAAAAACTTTTATAAGACTTTTATGATTTTTTTATAAACTTAAAAATAAACCTTTTTAACATTCTACATTATCATATAGGTATTTAAACCGAATTACAGAAAAATTTGTTTTTGTTGTGAAATCGTAAGTTTTCATGGAGAAAAACGCCATCTATTGTACGCCTACAAAATTGGCTTTCAGAGATTAACGTGGGTCTGTAACCTTAGAGAAAAGTTTGTAGGCTTTGAAATACAATTATTTAGATTCACTGATGTGTCTGCCTTTGAAATTAGTGAATGTAGACACGATCCACTTTAATGTAACGGACTGGTTCCGCAAAATTTCAAAAAACATAGGAAAAATCACTCGTTCATCAAAAGTCGACTCTCTCAGTTTTTTCCCTGGTAGATGATCCGCTTGCAAACACACTCTAGCATACTCAATTTTTCACGCTCTTTCCGCTGGTAGCAAAATAAAATAAAAAAAGGATGGCAATTTTTTAAAAAGCGCTCAATTTTTGCCGCTGATGTAAGAAAAACGACACAAATGAACTTTTTAAGAATATTAAGCAATTAAACGAGTGTGTATCGCACAAAACTGTGTTCATCTTCGTCGTCCTCATCGTCTTCCTCGTTGTCTGAAGAATTTCCAACTTTTCATTGGCATCTTTAAATAATTAAATTTATTTACTCGACGGTTGGTTAAGATAGTGTTCCGGATCATGTCTAGCCAGTGAAAGATACCATATTATACTAGCTACATGACTGCAGCAGCCTATTGTACAAGCCCCATTAGGACATTTGCAGCACCAATTAGTCATTTTGTAGCCCGTGAAATTCTCTATCGAGTGATGTATACTAGTTGATACTTTCTGTAGGGGAAAGGGTTAGGCGAATGAAATTGCTTTGGGCAATTTCGTTTAAAGCAAGAAGGTTTTAGTTTGGCAAAAGGCTTCCAGGGGCTTTGGAAAGGATTTTGATTGTCTAAAAATATGATAGGTTTAATGGGCAAGAAAAACTGCATCAGATGAGTTACTGCATAATGGATTTGGTAGTGGGCCGATTTGCGGTCTTATCGTCCTCCGTCCTTTAGCTGCCAAAATAGCTGCATTGCCCACTTGCAGCTAGATTAACTAGATTAAAAGGTACATATATCCAGCTGCATGCCGGTTGAAATCGTGTGCTGAAACAACCTGGCTGCATTGGTCAACTAATTGAGCAACGAATTGCCGGATTAATCGAGACAACTAGACCGCTTAAAAAGAATTTGCACGGGTAGAGGGCCCATTTTGGGTCTAGGCCTCTAAAAAACTCCTGAACGCTGAGGTCTGGCGGCGAAAAATAATTTCGCAACTTTACTTTAATTACCCAACATTTGTGGAAAATTTCGTGGCAATCTCATGCACTGTATCGAAAATGGATTTTGAAGGGAGGGTGGCTTGTATCAGCTGCATCATCTCGTTTCAATAAATGGTTCGTGAATAGAGGATGAGTGTGCTTGTATATTATGCCAATGTCAAACACCACACTGAACATTCGTGTCATATTTACTTAATTTGTTCGAGACTTTGTCGACGAGATAAATATCATAAGTTTCAGTTACAATTATATCATATAACTGCGATGATACTGCCCAACTTCCAATTAGTGTGCCAGTTTGATCGTATATTCGAATGCCATAATTAACTATTGTTACCCATAAACGGCCACACGAATCAATTACAATAGCTGTTGGTGCTTCAGTACTATTTGTTGTTATAAACGATGAGACTGTGTCAGTAGCTATCAATAATTTGTAAATGGAACCCCCGCCTTTAGCATCCACAATGAAGAATGCTTCATCCTCCAATTTAGCTAGATAAAACGCATTTGTGATCGGTAATATCAAAGTTCGATTTAGTATAAAAGATGTTGGTGAATAATATTGATAATATAACATTGTAGAAATTGTAGTGTTTTGAGTGATTACACACATGATACTATTATTATAGACAAATGCAACACGCTGTGGACTACCATAAATGTTAGTTGTAGTAGAGACAAGTGTTAGATTTGTTGCCGAATACATGTAGAGAGTATACGGTGAAATAACAGGATAAATACCGACAAAATAATAACTGTTTTGGTAACTTAATGGGCGAGAATTTGTTGCTGTTGATATGGTTTCAATTGTTGTCAAATTAGAATACATTAGCTGAAGTCTATTAGCATTATAAACAACAGCCAGATGACTTTGATCATCCATTGCTAATCCTGTGGGATTTGATAGGATAACAATGTTTGCCGTTTGATTTTTTATCCTATTTAACAGCCACATGAAATTAGAGCAACATGGAGAAGGCAATGGTTTCAATAGATAGAGAGTAGAATTTGAATTTGTGACAATGGTAAAGAAGCGTGAAATATTTTGAAATAATTGACATGTTTTATTCGATAAAAGTACATTTAACGCAGAATAGTTTTGATTTAGACCGTAACAAATACAATTATCAAGCGTTGTGTTACTTAGCCATACTGCTGTTGATGTTAAATTTCCATTAATAAGAAGACCCTGTTTTATATTAGCAATACTAACAGATAAAGATTTGGTTGCAAAAATGCATAAAAGAATAAATAAAAAATACATTTTCATAAAGATTCGGAAGAAATATGAAATGAGAGAAGCAATTTCTTTTTTTAATGATAAAAATATTGTCAGTTTAAAAGTAGTTCTCTTTATTAGACAGTCACTCTGACGATCATAGTTTTTTCATTAATTAATTAACTAAAAGAAGTTTATAGTTGCAGTAATAAGAAGTAGTCAAGTGTTGTCAAAAAAAGGACATGAAGCAGAGAGATTGAGAGCACTAACCAAAATAAGTAGGAACAGTCGAATGACGTTCTTATCTCATTCTCAGAATAGACGCCCGCTCATATTTATATTGATATTTCTCAATTTTATACCGTTTTCTCTTTACGGATCTTCCATTATAGAAATTCTGTATGTTCCTTCTTGGTTACTTCCTGATCAAATACTATCATGGGTGCGGAAATTATAAAGTTTATCCACCTCCTATGAACGATTATTCAGTGAACCCATTCTTTTCTGTTTATAATAGCATCACTTTCCATTGTATATCTTGTTAGTGTTCGACTTGGTCGCCTAGTTCCAAAACAAATACTTATAGACGTTTGCAATTTTAGGTAGTTTTATTTTTTACGCTATAAAAATCCCGTTTGTACACATGCTGTATTCTACCCAACAACAGCCATTTGACTCCGAATAACTTCAAAATCAATGAAATAAACTGACATTTTAAAAGAACTCTTGTCACTCTCTAAGTGATGAAGTGTCACTTCAAGTGAAGAAGTGTGTGCAGCAAAATTGGAAGTTATTTCCCCTTGGTTGAACCTTCTCTATCTTGATAATTTGCTTTTCTTCATGTTCAGTACATCTCTTTATTACACAGTCACTTCGATGATCATAGTTTTTCCAGTAACTAATTGACTAAAAGAAGATTATGTACACAGTTCTTGTATCGACTGACGTCAAATTGATTCTCTATCTTGAATAAAAATTTGATTACAGGAAGCCATGTTTTCATTAAGTTTTGGACGAACTAGAGTCAATATACTAGTGGAGTGCTATCAACACAAATCATGATCAATGGCTGATCAGTGTTATCTCAGTGTCAGTCAAAGAAATCTATGAAAAATATTTCTAATGTGCAGTTTTGTAGAGCTTTTCGCGCGCTACAAGCTCATATACCTAACATCTCCGATCGTCTCATCTTACTAGAGGAAAAGGGGATTTTTGATCGACTTGGTATCATCTTTCACGAACAGTCGACGATGGTGGGTCTTAATGCATTGAGGTATGTCAGTTACAGAAGAAGTGACCATGGGCAAAACCCTGTAATAAATTGCGCACGAGATAGAGTTACAAAACGCACTATTTGGAAGTCCTTCACCAGAGTGTCGTGATACCCAAAATTGCCCTGTATGGATCAATTTTTAGACCCATCTTTCTCTTCTAATTTCGTAAAATTTCATGTTTTTGGTCGAATGATAGTCCTTCTTCAAATCTAAGATCGTATTCGTGATTAGCGAGCAAAACTGCATCAGATGGGTTATATTCGAAGATTCCAGTGTGTATTCACTCTTCCTATACTCATCATCAGAGCCCTGCAGGTTGATCCTAACCTAACCTAACCTAACCTTTGGGATTAGGTTGCAGAAGTTATAGGTTAGGTTAGGTTATAGCTTGTTCTTTTTTTCGTCCAATAGTTGTTACTTTTGCTCGAATGAAACATTTTTCTCATTTTAACGACATTTTTGTTCTTATTCTTT